TGAAAAGTTTGACACTAGGAAACCATATTTGAATCTTTAGTATTGAAGTTTAGCTATAAGTAGCTTAATTCTATTACAGAAAGTCAGGGTGAACTTTAGCACAGAATAGTAAAATAATAATATTAATATTTATTGAGCATTAAAATATTAATATAAAGTCCAGGTGCTTTCCAAATTATGGGGTGAATTAATTAGATTTTTTCCCCCTATTCTTAGGCCTCATTATACTTAAATCATCTTGAACATATAAAAATTGATTTTTATTTTAAAGAACTCTAAAAAAATGACTTTAAGACTGTCTTCATGAATGCATTTTTCAATGTCTAATGAGTCTTGAAAGAAATTCTTTTACATCTGTCTTTAAGCAGGGGGAGGCAGTGCAGCTGGCTATCATCTTCCATATGGAAATCGGATATTTTACTATCATTGTAGTCCAATGAAATTTCACATTGTATTGAGAATCTATAATTAACTTCGTATTGTTGACTCCTGGGCATCTAGAGTTTTTTTCTTTTGTACTGAAGGCTCATAACTGTTTGTTTTTGCACGCCTATTTTGTTATTCTTATGGTTACTCAGCTTTATTGTCTCTGATCACTTTTCCAATATACCAAGATCACTTTGAAGCGAATCCTCGTTCTCAGGAGGTTAAATACTAAACATAACACCAGAAAACTAAATCTATGCTCCCTAGTTATAGATCATTTAAATCAATGTTTGTCAAGTTCTGTTCCAAACTGAAATTCCATGACGGGCACAGAGGATCTTCTGGGGAGTAGAAGAGGAATTTTTAAGTGGGAAACACAGCCCTGCATATATTATATATATTACTTGTTTAAATATTGGGTTTCCATGCACGAGTTACAGAATTGTGACTGAACTGCTTTAAATCCTAAATCACCAACTTAGGATAACAAAAATATCCAACCCCAAAGTTATTCCAGTAGTCTAAGACGAAATAATTATTACTTTTCAGGTGGTTATGAATATACCAACAGTGCAGTAAAGAGAAGCAACTTTCAGAATTGGAGAGGGGGAAGGAAAAAGGAAAAGAAAGATTTCCTTCACCTTATAAGGCCTATAACTGGAGGCAAAATTAACAATTAGCTAATCTAGATGTATCTGACGATGAAGAAAACACATCTGTTTAGGAGATATAAAAAGGCTTTATTAGGAAAAATAGAAAACGTGGACTCTAATAACATTCTCCCATTTTATATAATTGGCAAGATTGGTTAGGCGAAGATCTGTGATTAACTTTATCTATGTATGTAATAGAATTACTACGGTTGCCGTTTCTAAGTTAGAGTTTAAAGAAGCATGCTTGAGATAATAGGGAATTTTACTGCCCATTGGTCTGTTACAATTCATGTTATTGATGACAACTAGAATTATGTACTTAACAGTTATAAAGAGGTGCAGCAGAATATAACTAATATTTGTCTTTGTCAGATTCCATACTGTATAATTAAAAACAACAACAACAACAAGACTAGCTCTGATTCTGATTCTTTTCATGGTCTCTGAGGATTTTCTTTAAAAACAACAAAAGAAATGGGCTACTGCCAACTAACCTCTAAGTAACACCTGTGACACTTACCTAGAGGGAATTTAAGATATGCTTGAATTAATGTGACTTCTAGTAAATTTGGGCTTAAAAACATTCCACTGAGAGGCTGTCCAATAAAATATAATGTGAACCACATATATAGCCTTAAATTATCTAGCAAAGCACAATAAAAAGATGAAAAGCAGTTGAAATTAATTTAGTATAAATGATTTAACTCAATGTATCACATTATCTTAACATATAATCAACATGATTTATTGAAATAGTTTACATATTTGTGTACTAAGTCTTTGAAATCTGATATGTATTCTATATTTACAGCATATCTAAATTTGGGTTGGCCACACGTGGCTAGTCATTATCTTTGGATCACACAGGTCTGCTGTACATAATTTTGACAAAGTTTGGTTGAAGGAGCCAAAGACAAATTTAAGTGGGCGCTGGCAACGTGTAGTCTCTCCTGTAGTCTACACCAGGGGTCTCCAACCTTGGCTGCAGACCAATAGCAGTCTGCGGCCAGTTAGGAATCAGGCCACATGGCAGGACCTTCTGTCAGATCAGTGGTGGCATTGGATACTCACAGGAGTGTGAACCCTATTGTGAACTGCACATGTGAGGAATCTAGGCTGCATGCTCCTTATGAGACTCTATTGCCTGATGATATCCACTCCCACTCTCCTCGCTGTGGAAAACTGTCTTCCATGAAACCGGTCCCTGATGCCAAAAAGTTGGGGACCACCGGTCTGAACCAAACGCTTGGACAAGGTGTCCAGGATGATTTTGTTAACTCTAAATCAGTTCTGTACTGGTAAACAGGCTGCACTGTAATGGTAAACAGGCAACAGGACAGCAAACTAACCAAACAACTGAAGGCAAATTTAGAGCCTAGGCAAGAGGGCCTTCAATGTTCAAATTTATAATGAAAAGTCCATATATATTATGTAATTTCACAAAGTTATATAAGTCCATGTAACTTCACAAAGCAGAACAGATATACAAAAGACTTTGTATTTAAAAAAAAAGATTCATCAGATGCTTAAATTCTGAGTGTACAGCTTGCTAAACTCTGCTTATATTTTATAAGTATATATGGGCTTAGCTCAGTATTCTTGATACAAAGGAAAGTTATCACAACTTAAGGCATTTCCTCTGTCCATATTCTGACTCTGTAATGTATATCTGATCAGTTCAAACTTTAAGAAAATGCTTCAGTGGTTTACCTAGAGTGCTTTTCTACATCTCAGTTAACATTCAGATTTGTACTAACACCAGTTGCTTTCCAACATGAATCTTCTTAGGGAGACCAAGTGCATAAACTTTCAAACAAACGGTTGGTTTCTCTCTCTATTCTGTGCCATTTGGCTGATATATAGCAGCAGTGATATTTTTTAGTTCATATTTTTTCCAGTTGTCGTCCACAATCTCACCTGTGCATATATTTTCAAATGTAAGTAGGCCCCCCCATCTCCAATCGCTGTGCTCAAACTCATTCTCAGAAATTCTCTATAGTGTGATCTTTCCCGAAGGCAAATCTTACTCTGTCCCTTCTCCCTTGCTTGGATTCTTCTGGTAGATCCCTGTCACTAACAGAGAGGCAACACAAGCAGAGAGCCCTGGTCAAAAGTGGCTCACCTAAGACCCTGGGGTTGTCCTGAGATGCGGCACAAACATGCACCCATGAGGCCTACCCACTGGTCACCAGAGAGAGCTCATCTAACCCCAGATACCTGCACTGGCTGACCAAGGAGGAGGACTTGCAATGACAGAGGAAGTGAAAGTTTCTTTTTGCTTTTGGGGTGGGGCGGGGAAGTTTCAAAAGTCTGTTCATATAAAAAACAGAGGACTGAGCCGGGCTTGGTGGCTCAGCCTGTAATCCCGCGCCTTTGGGAGGCTGAGGTGAGTGGATTGCCTGAGCCCACGGGTTCGAGACCCGCTTGGGCAGCGAGATCTCATCTCTACAATAAATAAAAAAATCAGCCGGGTGTGGTAGTGCGCACCTGTAATTCCGGCTACTTGGAAGGCTGAGGCGGAAGGATCACCGGAGCCCAGTAGGTCGAGGCTGTAGTGGCCGGGAGCGGCCACTGCACTCTAGTATGGGCGACAGAGTGAGACTCCAACTCAAAAAAAACAGAGGACTGGTGTGCCAGCCTCCATTTCCACACGCAACAGGAGGACCTGTGCTACTCCTGGGGTACAGGTGTTGATGAAACTCTAGGTTTTCTCTTTAGAGTCTCATAAGGAACACGCAGTCTAGATCCCTCACATGAACCCAATTATATTCACAATAGGGATTTTAATCATTTTTAATTTTCATGAAGTCAGATGACTAGGTCACGGATGCGTACTGAAGAAGTCAAACACTTTTAGGGATCAAAGGTCTCTAACACCAACGTGCCATCCTCCCATCCCCGATGGCTCACAAGATTGTACTTTCTTAACCACAGGACAAGTCATCTGGACCTAAAACCACAGGGAAATTTTAAAAAAATATATGAATTGAAACTAATGGGCACATGATGGATAGACAGTAATTCTATATGCCACAGGAGTAGAATGTTGGAGGACATTTCCTTTGAAGACCCCGCTAGTAATTCCGTTACATAGCCTTGGTTGCAGGTATTCCTCAAGGAATCCCTCACTACTCTGTCCTTTGGCAATTCGTGGTTTTGGGCCTTATGTATTATCACTAAAGCAATCATTCAGTGGTTCTGGATTATTACAGGAAAAAACCAATTTTGTGGTCGAGTCTGAGAAAGATCAAATGATAGTTCATCTGAGGCCTTTTCAAAGCCACATGAACGCTTCATACCTCTTTAATGCTTGTTAAGGCTATCTTAACTCCATTAGAAAGGATTGTTTGCATCCATATTGATTTCCTATCTCCCATACATCCGTGCAAAATCATCGGTATGGGGCACAACTCTACTATTGACACTCCTCTGCTCAAAATCCCTCAATGACCCTTGGATGATAGAACCACGTCTAAATTATCCAGCTTAGCTTTCAAGGCCTTATAAGATCTTTCCTGCACCTTTACAACTCAGTTTTTCCCTTTTATTTTATGATAATGAGTACAGTCTGTGAAGTCAGACATGTTTGTGTCTGTAATCTCAGTGCTTTGCGAGGCTGAGGCAGAGGATTGCTTAAGCCCAGGAGTTCGAGACCAGCCTAAGCAGCATAGCAAAACTCCGTTTCTACAAACAAAAACAAAACTAAAAATTAGCTGAGTATGGTGGTGCATGTTTCTAGTCTCAGCTCCTTGGGAAGCTGAGGTGGGAGGATGACTTGAGCCCAGGAGTTTGAGGCTGCAGTGAGCTATGATCGCACCACAGTACTCCAGTCTGGTCAACAGAGCTAGATCTTGTTACAAACAAATAAACAAACAAATAAAATTTGGTAATAATTTTCAGTAACGATTTTTTTCTACTAACCTCATTGCCACATTGCTGCCATCGATAACTACTGGTCTCAGATTTTCACCATCATCTGTTACAATCTCTTGCATTGGAGATTCGGACCTCTGAGATTCCAGGGAAGATGTTTCCCGCATTATATTGTTAATTGTACTAACTGTTTGATCAGCCTCACTTTTATTTCCAAGTTTGACAAGTTCTCCCAAAATATCATTGATTAAAGCATCAGTACCGAGTTTGTTTAGCACAAGCTGAACCTGTTCTTCAGAATAGCCTAATTTAAGTGCAAACTCCAGTTTCGTTTGGTATTCTCGCACCACATCAGGGGGTTTCTTCACTTCCTTGGTTGTAGTCTGGGACTCTTCAGGTTTAAAGTCTTGCAAGATCTCATTGCGCTTGAGTATGTGAGGCTCCAAACAGGGAGACCGACACAGTTGTCTGTGAGTCTTGGTTAACAGGCATGGATCTACTGAAATGCTACTCAATTGTTCCGACTCATGATCAGAATTTGTGCTTTCCTCAGAGTCACCAGAGCTCGCATTCTCTTCAGACAACTGCTTTTCGTCCTTCCCAGCATTAACTGTATCCATAGTTGGTTTTTCTCCCGTTGACCAAGGTACAGCTGCACTTAACTGTGGGTCAGTGCTCTCCACGTAAAGGTGGCCGAGATCATGCCCCAGGTGATCCTTCAAGCCCATGAAGCTGTTATGTGTACTTGACTCCACTTTGCTGTTTTTTCGGTATTCCTGAATGCAAAGCACCCCGTATTCCTAGAGGAAAAAAAAAAAGTAAAATATTTAGAACTTTATATTTGTGGTTTGATTTCGGTCTCAATGGAGAAGCCAGAAGAGAATTATCAAACTGAACACCCACTTCGTATTTTGTCTGTATCTGCCCCTTCCTCATAACATTCTTCCCACAGTAGTCACACCCTGTTTTTCAGATGAAGAAGTTGTTAATGAAGAAAGTCATGCAATTTCTCCAAGGCAACACAATAAATAAATAGAAAAATTGGATTTCTTAGTGAGTTTCATCTGACTCCTAAACCCGTACTTTCCCCACAATATCATGTTCCTTCTCAACTTTGATGGAACAGATTTTTCCATTTTTAGAAAGGCTTATGATTCTAGAGTGACACATAGAATATTACCAAAACGCATGCTTTAGATATGCCATGACAGGTTATTTACATTTTCTCAAACAGAATTCATAAAAATCTGTAAAAATTCTTTTAAAGAGAAAGCCATGTAGAAAGAAAAGAAAAACATTATCATACTTGAAAAATTATCCTAAATTTGGGTAAAACTTAACAATCTCAAGAAGTTTCAAAAATAATGTAGATAACTGAAATTAAAGAGCACATACTCTAAAATGGCCAACAAAGAATTAAACAACTGCAAAGTGAATTCAATTCAACTTAGAGACAAATAGAGTTTTACCCTAAGAATCATGGTTTTGTGAATCTGGGACACAGTAACACAGTATAATTTTTAACATTTTATATCCTTGGTAAACATCAGAAAATCTACAGTTTATTACATCTAGGAAAAAATAAAAGTTGTTTTATTCTCTTTGGATTTATCAAAGCAAGGATATTAAATATTTCACATAAAATTAGCAACAAATAAACACATTAAATAATGTTATTTCAGTTTCTTGAATTTTAGGGCAGAAAATATTTCTGTATTGCATCAGATTAATTAGCCATTCATCTACATTTGGTTAAAAAAGTCATCTTTCTCCTATTTTCCCTGATAGGTATACTTTTACTGTTTAAAATGTTTGTTTTGTTTTGTTTTTGCTGTTTTACTCTTTTCCCTTAAAGTCTATTGGAAATCATTGTTATTTCTCTGCTAGAAATGGGTTAGAAAAATAAAGCTAATTTCTCTTATGTTTCACTGTAAGGATAAACTCCACATTAGTGGTTTACTTATTCATGCAATTCCAGTCTTCTCCTTAGGTATAACATTTGCAAGCCCATGACAGCTGAATTTGAGACTGTCAGAAGATGCCTATTTAAATTACCTACAGAAGAAAACTGGAAAATATTCTGTTCTAAAGCTCTTCAACATCATATTTACACTAGAAAAGAACAATTATATAAAAAGCGGTTTTCTGAGAAGTCTCAAATTTGAAAGCATATGTGGGAAACATTAGAGTCAAATAATTCTACATAATGAAGCAAATTTTATTAACTATGGTAAATACCAGAGAAGAGAACATCAAATCTTTAGTTTGATAATACACTTAAAATTCCCTCAGTGTAGAACTCCTACACACTTTTACAGAACTTTGTTCATGGTTTATTCCCTGAGAAGACAGATAACTTTAATATTGTTGTTCTACTAATATAGCATTCATTAGTTTTGAAGAACACCCAACTCTCCTAGCTCAACCGATAAAAAGAAACATCCTGTATACATCTGTTTCATTATAAAGCTGCATCCATTTCAATTTTTTTCCTATTAGTTTGGATATGCATGAGCCCAATTATTTAGAACTAAAGCAAGGGATTTCGAAAGCAAATCTTTACACCCTGTGATTTATTTACTACTGTAATATACTAACACCATAATGCAAGTAACAAATCACAACAGCATCCTAATAAAGGATACAGTTAAAAGAAAAATCCACACTGCAGCCTTCGGAGAGCTCCCACCAAAAGTACCTCAAACAAGGAAAACCTATTGGAAGCTGGGCTGCCAGGCAACCAGAAGCTGGTTGCTAAGCTGCACTCCTTTAACATGCCATCATGAATGCTAGCACAGTGAAAGAATAATTTGGTATGAACAAAAGCCTATAAAAGAGACTGGGACTTAAGTGCGTCTGGTTTACCCTCGGAGAACAATGCAGCTGCCAAACCAATCTGGAAGCTCCGACATCATTGTTCTGTAAACCCCACAATCTGCTCTGACTGCAGGAAGTGTGTTTAATGGGCAACATTTTTGATCTCCCCTGAAAAGTTTGGGTTTTGCCCTAAGTGCTGTTGTGAGATAATTCTTCAAGATAATGACTTGCTGACCAAATCCCTGAGCTTGACTAGGAAATATTATTTTAATATTGAGTATTGAGGAGTAGTTTTTTTCTTTCTTTTCTTTTTAATATATCAGACAAGGGGAATACCTTATGAAAAATATAGCTAGTGGGAAGCATTAGAATGAAATGTTTTGATTAAAAAATAAGTGAAATTACTCTTAATTTTCACATTTTGCAAAAAACAAAACCAGATACCGTCAAGTTTTTACATGGAAAATGAACTAGTTTTAAAAAGTGTTTAAATCTTTCTATATCTTCAATCTAATATTTTTTTTAAATGTTGATCACACTACCTGAATCTGCAATGCTATATAATTTTATTATATGGCTACAATAATGACAGAGAAACAAATGGGATCATCAGTTGTTTTTATAACATTAGACCACACAAAGCTCATTTGTATACCAATATAATTAGTGAATACATTTAGTGAATACATACTTTTAATTTGTGATAATTTGTATAATTTGTGCATAATATTTAAATAAAAAGTTTACAATAGTTTGATTTATAATGCTAAGGAAAATGTACACTTGGTCTACTTTTAAAAAATTAACATTCAGTTTTGTTAGGCAAAATCTTTTTTGTTTTAAAATATTCTGGATGAACTTTTTCCACAATGACAGGCCTCTCTTCATCTCTAGATTTCATTGGTCAGCTTAGAGAAAGTGATCCAATGTCATCTTGTACTAAACAAGCAGTTAAATGGTTCTTAGTTCCTGTAAAGCAAGAGACTAAATAAGAAATAGCACAAATAAGGACAAGTGAGTTCAATTTTCAGGCCTATAAGGCACATGTATCTTCTCTTGTATTGACTCAAATGATAAAGATTTGTTTTTAAAATTTTAATTTCCGGAATGCATCCTTACTCATTTCTAATTAGTAAAAGACTGTTCTGACTTAATATGGCACTTAAAAACAACCCAGAATTTGGGAGTATCTTGAAATCAGTCAATACAAAGTTAAATGCTATTCCAAAGATTTAAAACATTAAATATTTTCATAGGTTGCAGTATTTGTTAATGTAGCGGATTATGTAAAATTTACAAGGAATTAAGATAAACTTTAGAACAAAGAACAGTATATCGCTATTTTTGTTCACTGCCTTAAAAAAGGATAAATTGATTTTGAAAAAGAAAATACTACAAAAGCGTCCCAAAATGTATTATTACACGTAAGGCAGAAAACACTTTGCTCATTTCTATCATCTATTAAACTTTTAAGTTTTACATTTATGCAAGTGTAAACTTACATATATCATCTTACATTTAATCAACTAAATATTAACTAATAAGGGCAATTTTCCTTATTTCATGAAGAGGCAGCATAGTCAAAGTTTCACAAAATAAATCAGTTTATACTTGTATAGTTAGGAGAAAAAAATCCAAGAAAAACAGCTTAACTTTTAAACTTTGTATCAGGGATCCATTATAGTTTGACTTTTACATACTACATTCTTGAACACAAAGGATATTGGGCAAAAATATGATGATCATAAAACAGATTTCTACAGTTAGAAGTCTACACATTCCCTCCAGATACTGTACTGGAAACTCAAGCCTTCTTGCTAAAGGCAAGCTAACAAATATTACTTGATGAAAAATAACTAAACGTTATGCTAATTCTGTGAGGATGATGACGTATAACCAATTATTTTAGTTGCTAAAAAGAAACTTTATATGAGCTGAATGCAGGTTTGTGATATGACTATTCACTAGATAGTTCTCAAAAAACCTAAAATTCCTCCATTTAGTGAAGAGATGTTCCAAAAGTTCTTATTCGACAACTTGAATAAGTCTTCATCTCAAAAAAGTAAAAAAAAAAAAAATTCCTTTTTTTCCCCTATTCTAAAGAGCTTCATATTAATCAGGAATATTAGACCATAAACTTGTTCAGCCAATTTGTTTGTTTGTAATGTAAAGCTACAATGTCATAAAAGTGGGTTCTGGTTGTTATCCCAATGGTAATGCTATGAGAACAATGAAAATAAAATAATGAATATGTAATAAATACCTACTGCTGTATTCTCTGTGTATTTAATTACCATTGTATTTGAGTGAGTGGTGTTGTCTGCAACCCTCTAGCTAACAAAGGAAGGATGTCCCTTTGAACAGACTGGTTAATGCTCTGGGGCAACAGATGTCTACTGGAACTGCAGGAGGCCAGCAACTGGTGGCCAGCCCATCTTCTGAAAACTTTCAATAGACTTATGCATATGTTCACACAATGGGGCATGTGGTAGAAATGAAAACCTCTTTTTAACCCTTTACGCTCTTTCTTTCCCTCCCAACTGATGGATGAAAGTCTTTTGTCTCCTCCTCTGGTCCCCACAACAGAACTCTTAAAAAACTAGTTCTTGGAATGACATCCTCAATCTAATAACTGAAACTAATGTAAGGAAAAAAATAGAAGGGAGACAGGAAATTAGAGACTGTAAATGAATACTGAAATTGCTGACAAAGCAAATGAATGCTTAATCATATACAAAACAAGTTGAAACATCTACGTATGTTAATCCATCTCCCTGAGCTAGACTTCTAAGACAATGGAGAGATCTATCAAATCTTACTATCATTTTACAGCAACTGGACATGACAGTGACATCTTAAGAAACCTAAGAATTTGACAAGAAGATAAAATCTAAATTCTCCATTTATCACAATATCAGAACACTTACTATAACTTGTCTTGAAGCTCCAAATAACTATATGCCATGCCTAATGCCTTACAAATGTTCACGAAGCTGTAATTATTTACATAACTCCAGAATATAAAAATGTAAAAATCTGCTTCACAGACATATTTTATGGAAGAAAACCTGAATTTTCCAGTATGTTGGCACTATGCAATAATTTGCAGGTTTTCATCTGAGGTGCTTTTACAGAGTTCAAATTAATACCCTTGAATATTTAGCAAAGTTTAACCTCCAAGGCATTACGTAGCATAGATACTCACGTTAGCAGGAAAATACAAAGACATTGGTTGCTGTAGCAGCTTCAGCAGTAAACTCCTTAACACAGTTTAGACTTCCAGGCAGGCAAGAAGAACAATGAATGGTTGAACAGATGGAATCGCAGTGTCTTTGCTTAACCTATTACCGAGTGGAACAGCAGCCAATCATAGGCCAGAAAGCTCACAATTAGTTGGCCAAGCAGATGCAAGACAACCTCAGCACTCTGCGTCAGGTTTGTAGGTTTCTAAGATAAGCAAGTTGATGTCATTCTCCGGGCTGCCCCGGGCAGCCTGTGTGTATTAACGAGGGGTGTGCGGCAACAATAGGCCATACAAAGCTGACTCGTAGGCAGCTGCTCCATGAGAGCAGAGTCATTAGGGAGCAGCCTGCCAACAAGAAACACCTGGCTTGGGCAGACTTCAGCTTTTCCGCCTTGTTTTTAATGCATGAAGACAAAGAAACCAATTATATTTTAAAGTAGCAAAAGTTGCAAGCTTCCAAAAAGTTGAGGCTGTCCTCTAGTCTGTTAGCTTTCCTTCTTTATTAAAGAAAGAGAGGTGTGTCAAAGTAACAATTAACCATTGAGGCAATCCCTTTCTTGAATAAATGAGTTACTGGTGAAATGAGGTTAGAGTAAAATGATTTCCCTGGAAATAGGGGCAAACCTGTCTTTTAAAGTATGTGTTAATTTGTGGCAAGATAAATAGGACTACAAAAAAGATGATGAAAATAAGATTGCAAAATAAAAAGGTTTAAGAGTTTAAAAATAAAAGTATAAAAAAGTAAGTTCGCTGGAAGTGTGGCGCAGTAAGATAAAACCAAAGTTCCATCCAACCTTGTGCCAAATGGAACACCTAACTGTACACTTAGACAAAACTGTTGAACCTAAAATCATCATAGCAGTTGATCTGATGTATGTCAAATAGCAGTGCAAAATTCTCCTACTGTGGATACTAGTTAACCACATAATTAAATAGAAGCAAAGTCTCTCAATTATATTTTAATATATCTATTATTGTATATATAACATAGAGAGTATTATACCTTATCCCAGTTATTTGTATTTGTATTCCATAAAACTTGAAGATTTTTCAGTTCAGGAACAAGTTAACATTACAAAAAATACTGGGATATTTTTGTAGTATATAAAGTATATAAAAATAGGCCCCCCTGATGAGGAAGCTTGTTATCCCTGACTTATCTCAAAGTTTCAGATTAAGCATTTATAATACTACGGACTACCTGAAGGCTGCATTATGTTATACCTTGAGTGACCCGGATTATGAAAAAAAAAAAACAATCAAAATGTAAATACTATAAGGTATTGTATTGTATGGATACTTCCCTACTAGGGAAAAAGGAGCTCTATAACTGCCCTACTGTTTGCTTATGTGCTGTAGAATGAATAGACACACACACACACACACACACACACACACACACATATTCTCTTTTCATTCCAGTGCAAATTAAGTAAAGAGCTGCTCTTAACATACACTTTTCTGATATGGGCTAATTAATGCAGAGCCTACACTCATTCATTATATGATCATAAACTCTAAAGACACAAAACTTAAAGCACCCCAAACAATCCAAATCAATCTCTTTTTCATACACAAATACAGAAGCTACACACAATTAGGGTCATTTGTGAACACTTGGAAAAAAGTAACACTGGTTTGGGCCTCCTGGCTCTGGCCTACTCAAATGCAAATGAGATCGTCTCAATTTACAAAATAAGAGGAAGATTTGTGTATATGATTAAGATTTTTCTGTTATTTAGCTGAAAACATTCCTTATGCCTATTTAAAAACCTGAAAATTATTGTTGCTTCCAGAAGGAAAACTAAAATATAATCTTTTGAATTAAACTAATTTCTAAAGTAAGAACCATTTTTCTGCTGCCAAGGGTTACAATAATGTTACTGAAATAGTTTATGCCATGGTCTAATTTCATAAGCCCACTAAGGATCAAGATAAAGCACCTCAAGCATTACAGTTTACTGCAAATTACGTAAATTACATAGATGTCAAATTTCATGTCTTGGGGAAGCATATGGATGTCACAGAAATGAAGAAAGTTAGAATTTATCTTGTTTTTAGGGGGATGGTGGTGTAATGGTGGTTTTTTTTTTTTTTGAATTTCATGAGTAAGAAAGGCATCAACTCTGAAAGGAAAAGAGATGAACCAAGGTCACTGCTATGGCTAGTGAGTTTAATTCTTCGCGTAAATCTGTATTTGATTAAGTGACATAAAAATAAAAAACGTAATATACTTCCACGCAAAGTAGTTACAATTAAAATCTAATAAAACTTAACAGCTACCTACTGACTAGAAGAGACAGTGGGGTCCGTATTTATGAATTCATATAAGACCTTTCTTTTGTATACAGAAAGGAAACTACTTAGTATGAATAGACAATCTTCTTTTTTCCCTTGGGTTTTCTTCCTCTTTATCCCTTGCAACTATAGTTGCTACTTTATAGCTTTAGTGGAGGAAGGGGGAAGGGGGAGGGGCAGGAAGGAGGAGGAGGAAGAGGAGGAATCTTCTCACTAAGGCCTGCTACTGTGAACACAAAGAATGAGAGAAAACTACCGGAGAGCGCAGCAGGAAGGCTGATCTCTAGCACTGGATTAAGCTTTTTTGCAAACAGCAAATAAAGGCGGTGATCTGAAAAAGCTAATCAGACCCTGCTGTGGTATTTAGACTATCTCGTTGCTAGTATTGGATAATGTTAAGTACATTAAAACATCTGTAGGTGAAAAGATAGCCCCAGTCTGGCTTTCTCAGTTACGTGGCCCTAGTCCACTTCCCACTGCAGGGCAAATACAAACAGTTGTCCTGGGCTCTGACTGGGCCACTGAAATAAACGACCCAGTACAGCATACACTTGGGACTGAAAAAATGACGGTATTGTTTTAGGGGTACTTGTCAATGCCTAGGGGTACTATACCAAAATCTGTCAATGCCAAGGGTGGGACTAACATTTGATACTTCAACCACTAGAGAGGGCCTTGTAATTTTTCTTAGGAACAAATGTGAAATAAATGGGCTTTGATGGGTTTGCAATCAATTCTCTTTGCCAGTGGTGGTCCAAGACAACTTCCTGGCACCTCTCTCTTATGTCAACTAGTTCTCCTTTAATGTATATAACCTCTTTTTATCTAAATAATAACACCACGGAAGTAACCTACTACATCAAATTTTCCCAATTGTCCCCAGTAAGTTGAAATTTTAACTCAAAACTGTTATTTTTGAGGGTTTTTTTTTTTCTTATAACAGGGGAGAGCGTGAACGCAGCCCCCAACTACCACAAATTATGCAGTCAAGTTTCCCACATTTGGGGAAATTGCAGGAGTCTGCACATCCGGAGTGCAACGGACAAGCCTGGGAAAACCACCTTCGTGATCATGGTATTTTTGAGTTTTTTTTTTTTTTTTTTTTAATCAGCCAACAACAAAAAAAGCTAATACAGACATATAGTGTAAAAATAACACAGCAAAATCAATCAGGCACTAACTTTAATATCCAAGTTATTACATGCAGGAAGCCAGATGTACCATGAGCTCTTTTTTTCTTTTTTTGAGTTGGAGTCTCACTCTGTCACCCAGACTGGAGTGCAGTGGCTGCTCCCGGCCACTGCAGCCTCGACCTGCTGGGCTCCGGCAATCCTTCCACCTCAGCCTTCCAAGTAGCTGGAACTACAGG